CAATCGCTCCCGTTCGACGAAAAGGGATCGGCATTCCTCCGGTCAACGAATTTCGTTGCCCTACTTTTTCTCAGGAGTGCTTTCAGACGTGGTGTTTGAACGATTACTCTGCAGAGGTGGAATATGGTTCTGGGTGCAATGCGGCCATGGGGTTGGCAGCCGGGAACTTGGCGTCAGATTCACGGATTCGCTCAGTTTTGGGACTAAGCTTTGAAGGAGAAGAGGAATCCGAGCTGCGAAAGCAATTTCATTCGCTTCGGAATTCGTCCCTCTGCGTTAGGCTTATTGTTAGTCCTAGTGGCCTTCCAATGGACCACCCGGAGGCACATTGCGCCTGGTTCTGCTTTACCAGACAGTCGAAATATGTACTTGGTGAGCTTGCCATTTATATATTTTGGCAGCCAAGCCCAGGAGAAATGAAAACGAGTCCGAAGTGTTTTTGGGTGCCTATTTGCTAGGGCACGCGACCGTTGAGTTTCTTGGAATGTCGATTTCTGATTCACGTGTGCGGTTACTTATCGAGTGATTATCAGATGTTTCAGCTTGTTGCCCACATTCCGGATGGAACGGCTTGTTTTTAAGGGATTAATGCGACTCCGGGGCGGAAGTGGTGTAGTGGCAAGTGGCACGCTTACCACGAGCGGTCCGGGGATCAAATCCTGGGTCGTGAGTCGCCCGGGCCAACCAAGCCTTCCATCCCTCCGGGGTCGGTTAATTGGTACCAGACTTGTCTGGGAGGATAAAAACACTGACTTGTACATCGGCTGGCCCCCGCAAGTCATTGTATAGGCCACATCGCATTCAAACGCCACTACGAATGTACAAATGGAAGTCATGTTGTGCCACATCCCAGACGGGTGGATCACCGGACAAATGACCTTTCTACTTTATTTAATACGACTCCGAGTGCTTCACAATATTTCGGAACTCAAAATAAGGCTCAAAACTAACATTTCATGGAATTCTCCAACGAGTTCTCTGCGATCGCGTGGCTTCATAGCTGTGACGTGACTGTAAATAACGCATCTACTGTGTTGGATATACAAAGGGGACTGTAGCTTCTTGAAAAGAGAAAATTATGACCACCAAAACACGACTGAGTTTTCGTAACTCACACAAGCTCGCGAAGTGTTCGACTGCTATTCACCGCCATGTGAAGCGGTCACCGTTGTTTCTTCACCCAGCGTCCCACTATATCAAGAGAGTTCGCTTTTTCCTTGCATTCACGGTTGTTTGGTAGCTAGCCGTTTCGCTGTCTTACCCTGCTTTCCGTCTTGTGAGTGTTCGCAATTGAAGGCAGAGTCTACTATGAAAAGTTAGCTCATTGGAAATAAGGGTAGAGGTGGTCAGTGGAGCAGCGATGAAGAAAAACATTTGAAACGGCCCGAAATCCGAGAAATGGGACCCCTTCCTTGCCCGTTGATTTGCGCATTGATGCGACTCTCATCGCTGTGCCCTCTTCAACACTACGCTCTCTCTGCTATCTATCACTCGCCGCGTATATGATATTAGGTCGTGAAGAAAGTTCTTGCGCTTTTCGGTGTTTCGTATTTTGAACGCTTTATTTTGTTGATTCAAGCAAGCTGCCAATGAGCTGTATGTGGTTTTGAAGAGCTTTTCTTGTTCTATCTAACAGCTAGGCTAGCTATGTTCCTTATTATTTAGTTGTCATTTTTTGAAGCCTTGAATACGGCATACTCCAAGAGCAAATTTGCATGATTTCCTTTTTCTAGCTCAAAGCAGGCCAGTATGGAGAGGAAAGCAGGTCAAGATATTATAGACGCACTTGGCTGAGATTCGCAATAAATATGGTCTGAAGCAATTGTTCAAAAAGCTTTTGTAAGAATAGCGAGAGCCCTAAAGATTGTGAGGGTGGTGATCGGAGATTGGACAACGCCAACGATTAGTCGAACGTTCTGGTTGAAGCACGTTTGCACAAATCTATTGAGAGGGTTCCTCCTAAACTAATCGCACTTGCATTGTGTTTTCTTGTTGTACGGGAAGAGCTGGAAAGTCCCAAAAATCAAATAGGGCGTGCCGCGACAGCTCACCATTTTGAAGGGTCGTTCGCCGCGTTCTAGCTTGTTTCATGCCATGAAAAACGACCTGACTATTTGATCATTTGCGACGCACGACAAAGAACGGATTCTTTGCTACAGAATACGACCTTTGGTGAAGTGATCGACCGCGATCAGGCTCTACAAACTTTGCAAAAGTGAAACTTCACTGAAGGAAGGTTGAGGTGACTTTCATAAGGTCAGCGGCTGGTCTAGCTTTTCGTAACCAGGTGGATCTGTTAATGTGGAAAAAGTACTCCTGATAATGTGTCAAATTACTCCTAGAACTCTGGCACATATGCTCGAAATTCCTCATTATAAAGGAACCGGCTCGTCCCTGACAGGTAGCTCGGACGCACATTCCACAACCAACCCTGCAGAAGTTGGACAAGATTGGCTACGAATTAGTCCTGCGAACATCCTACTCGGATCGTGCAGGAATACGTAGACTTTGCCTACAATTTGTCACTTTCTCGACTACCTGGATAGCTTCTCCAACGAGTTATGCTTCAAAACCAACATGATGCGGAAACGACCTCCGCCGGTTCATCGTCTCTAGAGCTCCAGTATTCTGCACTACCGGGCTGATTCAACGCAGCTATTATTGGCAGAGGTTTGTGGATTCTAACAGTCTTTACTCCAATCAAAAAGGTTTCGAATGAGCCGAGATACAGGCATTTGAAAATCAAGGTCCAAAAGCGCAAGAACTTTCTTCACGACCTAATATTAGGCGGTCCATAAGTCTTGCAACAAACTGGCCGAATTTTGAATTTAATATTTTCATTATCTTTTTGTTCCATTCATCCGGCATGCTACCCTCCATCAATATCTACAACCTATTGCCAACACACTAGTAGCTGCTCGATGCCTCCCTTGTAGGACTCTACTGAATTCTGATCGAAGAAAGATCAGATGTCGATTTTGACATCATCATAGTTAGGATGAGCTTTCTTCTCTAGGAGATGGTTTGGAGAGGGGAGCAGAAGGGCATTATTTGGCACGAGGTCAGGGCTATAACGTGAATACGGAAGAACTCTCCGTCCCAGAGTCTCGAAATTTTCCTGAATTTTCTTAGCAAGAGGTTTTTCAACGGTGTCATACAAAAGCAAACTTTGCCTTGTTTTTCTTTCGTATTAAAAGCGTTGCATTCGAGCTGTGGATAGTTGACTTTCGCGTTGACTGCGCGACATCTACACGGAGGGGTTTCCA